TGCTCAGTATCAACTACGTTCATACTCTTGAATTGATTACATTTTTTTGAAAGCCTCGATTATTGCTGAATACATAATGTTAAAACAACCAACCGACATAATTGTTACAAGAGCAATCGTATCAGGACCACAAGGTCATTTTCCTTACTCTTCCTGTTATTATTTTTTGCCTGCATCTGTTTGTTTTCTCATGATATGCAAGTTTGTTGGCGTCTTACAGTGCAGTATTTTCTTTCGGTTTTTTACTATGACAATACAAAAATGATGCAGTGACGATACTTTCACGGGCAAATTGTAACAGACCATATGTCAGTTGTTTCATTTTCCCACGATTGATTTTGTTTTTAAATATAAAAGTGACTTGATGTATTATATTCTTCATACAAATATTTGAAATGAATTCTCTTCTAATTTTATTGGTTTTAATCAGCTCTGCTGTTGTCTGCAATGCAAAATGGACCGATGCAACACAACCTGCTGCTAGTTTATTTACGTCTGCCAAACATGTCTGTGGAGGTACGTCTCCATTAACTCGCGAATCAGCCGATACACTTATGGCGTGGGCAGCTCAATACAATTGGAACGTCAATTGGTTCGGAGTTTTACCTTAAAGAAATTTCTCGGCTTTACAGAATGTTCAGTGATTTATATTTGAATGATTGTCTTTTAATAAAACAGATATTGTTTTAAAATATATCATAACTTACAAAACTGACAATCCGAAAATAGTTGTGCATCTTTTCGAGTAGCGAAGCTACATCTAAACTGTTAATATATTTTCCGGTTCTTCAATGCTTCTTTGACTGCTGCACATATATATTGCGTGCGTCACTTTCACTGACACAATACAATTGGCAATACAAGAAACAAATTGAATCACATGTTATTTTTATTCTTTTGTTTATTTCACAACCAACAGGAAACGTTTTGTGTACTTTTTTCTAAAACAATGGCATGTGTGTCTTTTGTTAGCTTGTCTATTGGATTACTGCATCGTATTTTCGATTTTTTCGATACTCAAACGATTCTTCTAGCCATTGGTCGCGTCTGCCATCAACTTCATGCTGTTTCAAATAGCTACAATCGATTGAAACTTACATATGATTCATCATCACAATATAACTTGAAAATAATATCTCGTTATGTTTGTGTAGAAAATATTATTTTATTAGCAATCAAAAATGAAAACATCAATAACGATCGAATCGATAGATTTGTTAAAATCGTTGATACTTGTGAATTTCACGGCTTTCTTCATTCACCTTAATTAAGTGCATTTACGAAAAGTTGGAGAACTTGTTACAGCACATCGATATCGAGTCTTCTATTACACTTTCGATTGACTTACATTCGACATATTGTGGTACAGCATGAAAGAATCTTTTACCGTCAGAAATTGATAAATTTCAAATACGAAAACTGCTATTTTATGGTACTTTACATTATACATCTAGAGATATTTTATGGCCAACACATTGCAAATTCGAACATTTGACTCTGGAAACATGTAGTTTAAGACAATTTATTACGATTGTTCGCCATTGCTCTCATTTACAAACATTTACAATTACAAATTTCCCTGTGGATTATGATAATAAAGCTCTAATGGTTGCATTGTCGACCGAAACATTTACCACATGTTTGGAGACTTCGATAATTGAGCTGTGTTCATTATCGCTACTACAATTGGAATGGTTATTTTTTCACTAACGCCTCTGTTACGACATTTGAAGATCGGCCACGACGGCCGAAAGTTCGATGCTGTGAAAAATGATCATTTTTGGAAAGAACTGAGCAAAACTAAGTTCTGTGTCCTATATAAATTTGAGTTTTTCTTTGCTTACACAATTCCATATGGAAATGAAAATTATTTTCCCAGTTTCTAATCAATAATTACTCCATTTCAAACATCCTTTTGGTTTGAAGAGAAACCTTGGTATGTTTCTTGTGATTATGTATTTAAGTCGCGTACAATACAACTTTTTACGACACCCAGGTCGAGCAATCCGACAGTAGGCACCTATCGGAACCCATCCGATCCGACTGGCATCCAATAGAATTGTATCGGATTGTAGGATATTTTCAGGTTCCTATCGGATCCTATGTCGGATCAGTCGACCTGGGTTGTGATGAATTTCACACATCGTATTTCAAAGGCATTTAAACTAAAACTATTTAACAATTGAAAGCCGATGAATACTGTTCACTATTTTTTGACGAAGTCCGTCATCATTAGGTAAAGACTTTTCATATATATCCAATGCTTGCTGATGAAACTGAAGTGCCTTCTTTGGATTCTTCTGCTTTTCATAACAAGACCCAATCATATACAAAATAGCGCTCATATCCACATGACCAGATGGGTTTAAATTTTGACGAACTTTCAAACTTTGTTCATAATAATACAGAGATAAGCCGAATTCTGCTTGATCAAATTTAGCAGCTCCCATATTATGAAGGCTTGTAGCCGTAAGATCATGACCAGTTGGATAAAGTGTCTCTATCATTTTCAATGCGCGTTGAAAATAGCCCATAGCTTCACCATATTTGCTCTGTTTCTTTGAAACAATACCCATACTATGCAGGATTGAAGCAATATCAGCGTGGCCATCTGGATAAAGTTTCTGTCTAATTTCCAATGCTCGTTGATAATAATCCATAGCTTCATCGTACTTTTTCTGCTGTGAAAAAGTATAACCGATTCTGTTCAGAGTCAGAACAGTATCGGTATGGCCAGATGGATAAAATTTCTCGATTATTTTCAATGCTTGTTGATAATAACCCATAGCTTCATCGTACTTACGCTGGCATTCAAGAATCATACGAATATTAGTAAGGCTTATCGCCATATTGGGATGATTAGATGGATAAAGCTTCCCACGTATTTTTAGAGCGCGTTGACAATAATCCGTAGCTTCATCGGACTTTTTCTGTTGTAAAAGAAGCTGACTGATTTGGTTCAGAATCACAGCAATATCTACATGACCAGCTGAATTAAATTTCTCGATCATTTTCAATGCTTGTTGGTAATAATCCATAGCCTCCGTATACTTCAATTGCTTCACAAGAATATCACCCATCTTTCTTAGGCTTGTCGTAGTATCGACATCACCAGCCGGATGAAGTATCTGCCTGATTGTTAACGCCCGTAGATTACAATTCAAAGCTTCATCATATTTTGTTTGACGAACAAGGAGAGAGCCTATATTCTGCAAAACTTGAGCAGCACCTTTCATCCGCGCTGGCTTAGTTTTTATCATGTGCTCATAGACACGATCATAATATTCTCGCGCTTGATCCCATTCGTCTTTCATATGGTGAATTTTACCAATACTGAATTCAATCCAAGCTCGATCTTCATCATTGTAATCATTCAACAATCGCTGAAAATATTTCTGTGATTTATCATATTCGTACAAATCGTAGAATAGTCTTCCAAGAATAATTGAAATACTCGTTTCTTCTGTTTCATTCTGGATTAATTCAATGAAATCTTTAGTTATTTGCTGTCCTTGTGTGGAAAGATTCATTTTAATGATGTATAAAGCTGCATGTTTTTCAATTGATTCTATTTGGAAACAAGCATTTGAATCAAACAAAACTACTAGGTGATCTTGTTGCCCACTTAATTGATTAACACTAGCGAATAACACATTTTCATGGATTTATTCAATATTACATTGAATATGGAAAAGAACAGAAACATCATCATTGTTTTTTGTTGTTCTTAGTGCAAAATTTAATGCGAATTCTTTTGACATACTAGTAGAAAAATATCCATTTGTAAAAATAAGTTTCGTTTGATTTTCTTTTAACTCATCGAATTCTTCTTTGCTAAGTTTGACTTTTCGATAAGCATTTAACATTTTTTCTTTTGATGACAACAGTTTTTCATGCTCATGCCGAAAATTTTCGGTAAGATCATCGATAAAAAACCGAAACATACACAATAAATCCATATCTCGTGTTCTTAACGCTTTAGTGATTAATTTATAAACAAACGATCGTTTTAAATACCAAACAATAGCATCTTCGGATCGATAGTTTTTTTCAAAGTCATCAATAAATTTCATTTCGTTCGTATTTCCATCGTAATATTCTCTACATGCTTGAATCATTTGTTGTTTCGCCTGTGGATTTCGTGGAAGACAAGTCAGCGTTTGATAGAATAATTGGACCCAAAGGAAATTTGCTGATTCTCTCGATAAATCTTTTGTCAATATTTGATGTTGATCAAAAAAGAAAATGTTTGTATTTGCTTGTCAACAAGATCAATTTATTCTTTAATTGATTTACATAAATTCTCAAGATTAAGATAAACACCAATAATATTTGAATATTCAGTTAATACATCTTCGCATGGAGTTTTCTCCTGATTGAAAATAAAAACTGAATCAACTTGACGGAAAGAAGATATTCGAGGTAAAATTTGTGAAGCTTTTGCCCCCGACGTAATTAAAAAGACCGTTTCTTTATTAATCAGTTCAACGCGTCTAATACATTCTTCGAGGTCAGAACAGAGAATAACATAATCATTAACAAGTCGAAGTTGTCGTAAGATTTTTTCCGTATCTTTACATAAACGAGTACTGGAATCAAACCAAATCAGTCTAATATCTTCTCTATTTTTACTGTCGTTCATACTGACAGTTTGAATTTCTGTTTGGTATGCCATATAAACTCAATTGGAATTCTATTATATGCTGATGCGAAAGTAGAAATAAATCGTCACTTTATACGTATCAACAGAAAGAAAAACAAGAATTCATTTGTTTATCTCTGTATTCTTTGCTGTTTATGTTGCTAGAGAATATTATATTATCTGTCTTTTTTTGAGTAAGGCAACATTGCAAGGTAATGAATCACACTCTTCTGATGATGTTAAAAAATTGTTGCTGCATAATTTAATTCATTTTATGCAACATATTTTGAATCAAGTTTTCTGACAAATTGGATTTAGCCAGACTCATAATTTTCTTGAGCGTGTGGGTGATGGTCACGATAAAGGAAAGACATAAATCCACACTCACACCCTATATAGTCTGATGATAAGATTTAAAGTATGACTTCAGCTCTTACGCTTCAATGTTGATTGTAAGTAAGCGCCTAAATGAATACATTTTTTCCCTGTAAATAAATGGTAATCAATTTTTTAACTTGTCGTTTATTATCTATTCTTATTGGAATTCTCTATCCATTGTATCAAACATATAAATCAATAAAATATCAATATTGTGATCAATATCATTCTCTATTATGTTATTGGATGTTATTTAGTTTATTTCAAATATATGAATTGATTTTCGATCAATTTATTTCATTAATTTTACCATTTTATTATGAAATAAAATTAATTTTTATTTTCTGGTTAACCTATAAAAATGTTTCACAATTATTATTTCATCATTTTATTTTAATCTACTTGAATAAATATGAAAATGATATTGATTATTTATTTAATAATACAATAAATCGTTTAACGGGATTATTTCTAAAATGTATTCTATTCATTATTAATCAGCAACGAACGATGACAAAAGTCGAGCAAGTTGAAAACCATGGTGATCATATTCGATTGAAGACAAATTTTGCTTCGCAATCTCGACGATTAAATTCTACTCAACGAAACTTCTAGATGGTTTCGTAGTAAAACTTCAAAACCCTTTCCAACTTTCGGAACTTGAAAAGGTTCTGTATGAAAGATCCGACACTATTTTCATGCCACCGAACTTAAAATCGTTTCGTAAAATAGTACCAAGCCTTCAAAGTTCGGTAGAACACCTATCTTTTTTACAGTGTAGACTGTTACTGTATGAAATTGAGATTTATCGCTAGTTGACACAGAAGATAAATTATTCCTTTTGTCCTAGGATGAGCTATATTTCTCTGATTTGGATAAAAAAACAACATTAGATTTGAAATACTAGCTTGATTCTTGATTCAATTAGTTACAATGGTTTTTGTCATATTAGAGAATACGGATTTTTTTTCACACTAGACTCGTACAACTGATCTACTTTGTTGTATTAATGATTCTCTTGTTTTCTTCCAAACGAAATTAACATAAAATACGAAAAAAAGATTATAGACTAGATTATTAACTTGGCGAATAGTCTTTTAAAGTTATCATGAAGGAGAAGTTCATGCGATAAGTTTGATGCTGATTGCTTTGAAGCATTCTTATTCTTGCGCTTTGTGATACTGTTGGAAACTTTAATGAAGATTTTAACTTACTGGATTTGAGTGGGAAACAAAACAGATTTGACAGGTACTGAATTGTCTGAACTTTGCTCAAATATTCGAGATTCTCATCGAGTTTCGCATATCTATTTTTCGTTTTCTAGCTGTCTGCCTTTCTCTCGAAGATTCAATCGGTACCTCGAAACTTTCCTTGAATTGTGAAGGTCGAGTAATATCTATTCTTCCACAGCAAAAAAAGGAGCCCTGTCATCATTAATTCTAAATAAGTTTTCTTATAAGATATGCATTAATAGTGGTGACACAAAAACTCTTCTGCTTCACTCTTCTTTGTTCATGAAAGGGTAGCAAAAACCAAAGTGACATGGATTAGAACTAACGTGTTTCGCTTCCCCGTTAACCATGTCTATTTTATTAAATGAGCTGTATAGTAAACTAATATAAGCTAATCGGTTAGTATATCGTTCCTATCACTTGGTAAAAAGGCGATATATTATTGACCTATTTTCGTTTTGTATTAATATTAATGCGTATATCATTATTGATCAGGATAGGAAGAATAGTATTGATCACGAAGCGACGACTTACTAAGTATTGGATAAACTGAAAAGTTCGTAAATTCGCCTTTAGAACTAGTCCCTTGGTTCCGTTGTAACTATATATTTTATGTCGCATTTGGAAATTGTACTTCGATTCGCTTTTCTACGAATCGATATGGGCGCCATTGTACAAAGTGTCTGACATTTCCTACTTACTTGAACTGTATAAATAATCGTACTAAATATCGCGATTTGGGTCACATTATTTCATTAGGAAACATTTGTTTCTATAGCCCAGAATGTTCAGTAAACGATATCGATTAGGGGGTGAGTCTGCGTCTTCTTTCCATCCCCACAAAACATTCACCCACGTCCTTATTTTCTATACCTCTGCATAGTACTTTTAAAGGAATGAGTTCCAAAATATAAAATGAACGAAGTGATATTTGTTATGCGTGAGCATCAGTTATAATTTCAGCATTTTTCAGACATCTACATCAAGTACTCTTGGGATTTACATCGAATTCCCATGGAATCCCATGGGATGGCAGAAATTTTCATGGGATTCTCATGATATTTGGAATCCCTGGAGTCCGTCTTTTCTCCCTTGACAATGCTGGCATGATCTACCTATATAAATTCTTCTTGAATTGTATTATATATAGACAGGATTAATTGTAGTCGAAATAATGCAGTAATAAAATTATGCAACGCATAAAGTTAAAAATCTGATTCCTTACTATTTGCATAAGGCACATCAATACATTCTACCACAGTAGCCGTAAATAATTTCTTATTTTTTTGTTAAAGAACCGCTCACTTTAATTCTGCGTATAATACACTGATCTATGTCCAATAGTTCTTAACTAGTATAATGCAGCGATTGGCTAAAAATAGAGATGAGAAAAAGTAGAGAAATCTCCAAAAACTGTTAATATTCGCTTTTGGGGATAATCTACAAAACAAAATTTCAATTAAATAAATAGTACTGGAAAATTCTTCATTCCATTCTAAGATAAAAGTACACCAATAGTAAACGGCTCGTCATAGGAATCACATTCTCTCAGTTAATTTCACATGACCATATTCTGGTGAGAGTTGTCAACTTTTCTTTTCCTAGTAATACGCACTTCTGAATCGATGTGGGAAGGCATATACATGATTAATCCAGGCCGTAGTACGTCCGTCTGTTGTTGCCCAAGTGGAAAACTAGTGCTGGTACGCTAGTCTCCCATTGTTATTACTTTTCAATCGAATATGAGTGGGCAACGTTGTGGACTAACTTCATTACCAGAATCGACCGCTTATCCGAATAGTTACACGTGACCATTTACATACTTAACTGATACACTTGAATTTACTCTGAATTCTGACAGTAATCCTATCAAGAGGGGTCGTCAAGGTTTTCCACAATGCGTAGACACGGCTAACAGGATTGTAGTGAACCGATAAATTTAACAGAGCAACAAATTCATCAAATCTGCTTTTAATACGAAAGCATATATTACTTTCAGCTATGTCGGATTTAATAAATGTTGTACTTTTATTTTTTCTTCAATAAAATCACTAACTATCTTATCATCAGAGCTCAACCGAAAGTTCAAATATTGAAAATAGGGAAGAAGTTTTCTTACAGTTGTAACATAACAATTTGAAAAAATATTGTCTTGAACAATTTTTTGAGTCTTATGTCATAAAAATTGGTTTTCGAAACAAAATAAAAGATCTCAGTGATTAAATGGATTTCAATTAATAGATGGAATTTGTGCAACTTCACCATCTTGGGTTATACTCAACATGTATATGAGTATACAACAGTTGAAGTGTCACTCAAGTCTGATCGTTTAATAAGTAAAAGGGTCGATTTTCATTAAACTTTGAATAGAAAAAGTGCCCGAAAACTTGTACAAATGCAAATTTTAAAAGATACAAATTTAAAGAATCAGTGAGCCTTGGTTGTGATTGTAAAACATACAAGAAAAATCGAAAATCGTTTTGACGTTCAAATAATTAGTAATCCAAAGTGATTATTTGCCTTGAAAATTACACCATCAATACTGGTTTCATGATACATTTATACAATTGTGAGTGTAGAGTGTCAACGAAGAGAAGAATGATATCCTTCGTTCAATTTTCTAGACATTCTGCAGGTTTTAATTGCTTTTGAACACCATGGAGGCGTTATTTTTACGACGAATGATTATCCAAAAGTTTGAATTTACTCGAAGAGAATTTTTTCTTAAATCATAATAAATGAATCCAGTCTAGTTGCATAAGTGATGATGGGTGTAAGTATGTTAAATACTCAAAGATATTCAGATTCTAAGCTATATACGACATGTTTTACTTGTTTACATTTGTCACTGGTGGTCGAAATCGAGATGATAGCGCCATTGTGTTGCATGTGGACGATAGCATCATTGTTGGCTTACGTTGGAAGTGAGTAGTATTTGAATATTTTTTGTTTTAATGATTATCGTGAAGAAAAGACATGTTTAATTAAGTTTTGAATTATTGAGAGTTAATTTATGGGAATGGTTTTATGAGAACAACTATGTCGAGCTTGAATAAATTTTGCTTTGTTTTAGTTAACTTATAGAATAAGTTCATGCTTTACAGAAATGAATTAGGAAATCGATAGAGCGATATGTTTTATTTTATCGTCAGAGATAGTCCCGTTTCAATATATATGGTTAATTATTTCATGGTTTCCATTCACGTTAATATTTCTATTCTAAGTTTTTTACGTATCAAGTATGATTCGACGGTTTTGCTACTATTGGTCACTAGCCGAACTTTCACGGTTCGCAATGAAGAATTTTCATATGCATAATAACTTGTCCACCATTTGTAAAATTCTATTGATGATCTTTTGGAATTAGGAGCGTCAAATTTATGGCGGGGATACATAATAAGTTGATCCTTTTTTCTTATTTTCAATAATATCAGTGATATAATTGCATCTTTTAGCATAACGTTTAATTACTTTTCTCATCGGATTGGTTGGTGCAATAATTTTATGGAAATTGTGATAAATGTCCGAATTCAATTTCTGTAATACATTCGTCGAACATGGCTGTGTGTTTTTCAATTGCAGCACATAGATCATTCAGATTAACACCCACCCACACCCTTATGACCGTGGCATTTCAATATAAGCTATTCAATTCATCGTATTTTCCACATGCACATATTTGAAATAATCATCATAAGTCGTTCTTATATGATATTTTCTATGTAAAAAATTTCACGTCGAAATTCGAGCTATATAAATCATTTCAGGAACAAAACTAAAATCTCCTAAAATCAACTTATCAAATGATAACATATCTCTCAATCAAAGCAAATTCAAAACAAAAACTGTTTTGATAACTTTAAGAATTCTTGAAGGACTATAGGATGCACACATGGATTGCAAAAAAAAGGAGAATTGTTCTCCAGAAATATTCTCTTTTGAAAAGTCTAAAGATACAATTTGATGTAAAAATCATCGAACAAAATCTATAAAACTAATTTTCGAAAGGAAAAATGACATTTGCCCAAGGAATTTAAACAAAATTGTTAGTTAATAAATAATTGATCAATATGTATTATGAAATCTTTGAACTAAATCAAATATCTAATAGAAAAAAAGCTCTTTAATATATGATTTGAACAATATCTAATTATATCATATTTACTTGGATTGTAATTAAATATTTTATTAACGTACAGAAAAAAACTTGAATAGATATTATATTACTTATATTTAATAAATATCTTTTGAGCTCTCCGATTAGGGGTGGCACTTTAACTTTACTTTAATCGTAAAGTTTAAAGTTTAAAGTTGTTTAAAATCGCCTTTAAACGCTTCTTTTTAATAACTTTTACTGTACTGATGTATTTAGTCATGCTTATGAGACTCTCTGCAACAGATAAAACGCCAAAAAGAAGCATTTAAGCGTGACTTTAAACAACTTTAAACTCTGCACTTTACGGTCAATTAAAATTTGAAGTGCCACCCCTAACTCTGATCATATTCGTATTTTATCTTAAGTCAGATAGTATATCTGTAGTTGTGTACCACACAGGCAGTTCTCGCGTTTCTTGTGCATAGTTATTAAACAGTATTCATCTAAGGTAAACGCAAATGGGGCATGTCATCTCGCTTGATATCGTCACATCCTTTTATGGGCCATTTCCAATAAACAGCTACATCACACGTCATTCTTCGAGCAGTTGTAGCATCATTAATGTAGTGAAAAGTCGCCTTGCCTACATAAGAAACAGGTATGAGATGATGAAATCCACCAATAGCGTGTGCTTTGTCATAAAAGAATCGATCTGAATGAATTTTAGTAACACCTTTTTGTTTTTGGCAGTGCATCAATGTGACGTCATTCCATGTTTGAAAAGGACATTCTTTTGTATAAATTGCAGGCATAGTTGACATGAATGCAACTTGAGAAAAGACAATACCGCCACCTCCAGAGAAATATGACCATCCTGTCACCCACATATCATCCCAGATATATCCAATGGACAGTAGCAGTCGATGATCAAAGAACTGAAGATAGGATAGAAGGGCAGGTATATTAATCCATGTATCATCATCTGCAAACACAACCCATTTTATATTCTTAATTAATTCAGATTTATTTGTAATTATCCATTGTGATCCTAACAATTGTCGATGTTGCGCATCCTCTCGTGAAGGTTTATTTTTAAGCTGAGGCAAAGTTATCAAAGGAATACTGGCGTTGCTGGTATCAGCAAAGATGAAAAAATTTCCTTGCGACCATTGTAACCACGTTTCTGTCAGAAGCTTGGCCTTATGAGCATACTTTACGCTGCCCATGACTATAAATAAGACATCTTTCGGGTTTAATACTGTTGACACAAGAGGCACAATGCCATTAACATATCCAAGTTGTGAAGCCGATTTAGTGTGAGGAAACTCACTTCTAATCATTCGGAAATATTCAAAATCATTTAAATAATAACGATTACTACGTTTTTTAGCTCGTGTTTGCAATGTTTCGTTAAGTTTAAGATCTTCCATTGACATATTTCCATGTTGTGATTCTTGATGCGACTGTTCGACTGGTGTTGAGGATGTATTAGACGAGTTGACTGAAGTCCACTTAAATTTTACTACAAAACGTTGATAATATTTGACTTTTGATTCATCCATAAAAATCAAGACAACACTAATTAGTATAAATGTGAACAGACATATGTAAAGAACAGATCGTATGCAAAGTATTCTGAAAGACTTTGGGCGTATTTGGTTGGGTTGGTGATCTGATACATCTAACTGAGAATACATAATAGTTCTTGTCGATATTACACGTTGTCTAATGATATTAAACAATGTTTAAAAATACCTGAAACGAAAAGCAATACTGTAACGATAAATATGGCCCGTGCTGGTTGATCTATTAAGACAAACTGGACAGAAGTGGAATAGCTTAGCGCCACTCTAGGCAATGATGTTTATTCGCTTCTTCACATATCCAGAGTGTAACAACTTCAAAGATAACACACGTATATATAGGAGAGAGACAGGAGAGAGATATATTATAACAATGGAAAGAGAACAGAAGGAAGAGGAAAGAGAATCACCGAAGGGTGTCATCGATATCTTCACACCCTCCCACTCAGACCAGACGCGCTCCTGAGCGTCTTTATAATATCGAACAAAAAAGAAGATAGAACAGATATACAGGGTGAGACAAAAGTTCTGATACAAAGTTGTATAAGTCTGATCTCTGTGTTCCGCCGTTTTAATTACAATTGGTTCAACGCATACGACATATCAACATGTATACTGTCTGCCCCTACAGTATTGGTTCGTCGTTCACTTGTTTTGGATTTTTCGAGATCATGAATTCTAGATCGACTGATTGTGCACAAATATTTTCAGCCAGGATTAACCGGTGGACAATTTTTTCGGCATGTGAAGCAACTCGGAATAACACGTAATGGTGTTTATCGGACCATAAGTCGATTGCGTGATACTGGGTCAATGCAAGATCGTCCTCGAACTGGCCGACCTCGCACGTGTATAGCCAAAGAACGCATCAAAAGAATAAGAGAAAAAATCCGACGAAATCCTGAAAGGTTCGCAAGAAAGTTAGCAATGGAAGAGGATATCGATAATCGATCAATGCGACGAATCTTGCAAATTGATCTCGGTCTTAAACCTTACCAAAAACGTAAATTAGATGGACTATCGACGAAGCAAACGGTGGCTAGGCTTAAACGATGTAAAGCATTGTTGGCACAGCACGGTTCCGATGATATTCGAAAAATCGTATTTTCGGATGAGAAATTATTCGTTGTCCAACAGAAATATAAGCGTCAAAATGATCGAATCTACGCGTTATCAATCGAAGATATTCCGGAAAGTATAAGAACCGTGCAGCGGTTTCAGCACTCGGAATCCACCACAGTATGAGGTGCTGTATCCTACAACGGTAAATCCCATTGAAATTCATTGAACAGGGAGTTAAAATCAATGCAAAACATTGATTGAAATGAAATCTTGCGACCCACATTAGTGCCCAACACCAGTACGTTGTATTCAAATAATCGATGGATATTCCCGCAAGATTCAGCCCCTGCTCATAAAGCAAAGTCAACACAGCAATGGTTAGTCAACAATTGTCCAAATTCTATCAGTTCCGAAGAATGGCCAGCGTCCTCGCCTAATCTTAACCCGTTGGATTATTCAATATGGGGAACTTTAGAAGCGATCGTCAACGCAAAACCCCATCACAGTCTCGAATCGTTAAAACGAATATTGGTTCGGGAATGGAATCGATTGCCGGTGGACTTAGTGCGTGCCGCCATCGACACTTGGCGAAGACGATTAGCATTAGTTGTGAAGCGCAAGGGAGGTCGTTTTGAGGTGATCTTTTCATTACTATATTCTATGTACATGAGACATGTATTATACGAAGTTTCGTCTATTTTTGTTGCATACTTGGGAAATAAAACTATTTAGATCTTGTATCAGAACTTTTACCTCAACCTGTACGCGAAGAAAAGGAAAAGAAACGAGACAAGCACATAATAACAAAAAAAACAATATCAGTTCAGCATTTGAACTTTTTTTTCACAGTTACGCGCAATACGCATGAGAGAAACACATAAAATAGATAACAATTAATTCGGATGCGACCTTCACAGACAAACGGCATTATCATAATATACGAAGTTAACAATTTACGACATACAGTCAAAACGTAGCGGTCAGCAATTTACGACAAACGAACTTTTTAGAACGCTTTTTCTTCATTTTTTTAAACACTTACAATATGCATTACATTAATAGCGTACAACGAACATGATACAACAGGAACGAGACAGACAAAAATATCATTTTCACTCTTTTAATTAGTATATATCAATATTTTTCACAGTACAGAAAATAAACGATACCTAGAACGTTTTACTTTTTCTTACTTTATAGTTAGATTAGTTTTACATGTCACAAATAGCAAAAGAAAAAAATTAGTGTTTCAGCACTAAACAACGAATAACAGACGATAACCTATCGGAGAACAATTTAGTCAGACATTCATTCTTTATAAAAAAATTCACATTTCATTTTTGATTGTATCAAAATTAGCACGTCTAATTTAACACGAATACAAGAAAAATAATATGCCTTCTGCCCAGGTGACCAAAAGACTAGTAAAAAGACTAGTCTTTTTTCTAGACAAGTCGGCCGTCTAGTCTAGTCTTTTTCTCAAAATGTCCTAGTACAGGACTAGTCTGAAATCTCGTATAGTCCATAGTGCCCGTCCGGGCTATGAAAGTGACTGGAGTCATTCTATTTGTCATGCGTAGTCTTTTTCGAAAAAAAGTCTAGACATGCTGTANGCATTTTAGAATATATACATAGACATAAGGCTTACTGTATTATGGACTGCCGTCAAGACGCCAGTCTGATTTTTAATAGTATTATAAGTGTCTCTAATGTTGTAATCTAACTTTCTTCTCCCTTTTTTACAATATTTCCCCCTGCTATGGGCTAGTCCAGGTGGGGGTAAATGAATAAACAGACCAGTCTAGACGGGTAAAATGACATATGGACTAGTCAGAACATAATGTTCTGGACTATCTTGAACCAGTCTAGACGGCTGAAAGGACATACGGACTAGTCAGAACATAATGCTCTGGAATATCTTGGACTAGTCTAGACGGATAAAAGGACAAACGGACTAGTCAGAACGAAGCTCTGGGATAGCTTGGACCAGTCCAGACGGGTAAAAGGACATACGGACTAGTCACAATAGATATGGAAGACGTATTAGACTAGACTTGACGGGTATAGCAGACTTTTTGGACTAGTCATGTCGCCCGTCCTCCATATTTTTTTGCTCACTTGGGTGGGCAATCAGTCAAAAAACACTTTTTTATACTTTTCATAAGTTTTGATCTTAAAGATGATCTATTTCTTTTCATTTGTGAATCTACTTATATTTACGTATCTGATATTGGCGAATATTTGAACATTGAAAACAATCAATTCAATGGTGTAAATATGGTATCTTGACGATCTATGAATTGAAATTGTTTACGAACGGAAGGCAATACTCTGAAAAAAAGTTGTCATATGGAACCATTTATCGTTCTAGGCAAGATACTCAACCTTTTAAGGTTTTACTCGTTTATCAATAAACCATCGAGGGTTCTAGCTAGTTTAAAGAATCATCTCAGATTCTCAATAGTTCCGGATGTTTGAAAAGGTTCCGTCCTGCCCTATTTTTTTAAATGTTGAACCATTTTTCCAAAGATGATTCTGGCTTGAAGCAAGATACTATATTTCCGGAATGTGATTTAAGTAATATAAATCTCAAATAGGCTATTGAGACCGAGGATTCCGAATCCGTTATCATTTTTTCGATGCCAGGGTTGCGATAGTTGAATGGTAAACCAATGTAGCTGTGTCTCCAAAATCAATTCAATACTCAGAAAGAAAAAAAGGTGTCATACTGAACCTTCTAGGGTTCTAGATTTGGATACCATTTTCAGAACCATTTAAGGTTCAAGAAAAATCTGGTCCTAGCTGGAACTTTTCCCTATTTCTTCCAAAATTGGTTCTATACTAGTAAAATGCAGTCCACCACAATCAATTAGTCTAGCACCCTAGACTAATGTTTTATCCAGCCGTTAATTTCATATTTGATTCCTTATTCCTATCCTTAACCCTTAATTCTATGTGTTATATTTACCTAGATTTGTTGTGAGTAGAATACGAGCTAGCACTTTCTCCGTTATTCGCACGAAGGTAGCATCGCCGTTAATTGGTGTTAAGACGATCCTAAAAAAAATGAACAATGGCTTATATTGTAAGATTCAACTTACCATTAAATAAATTATTCACATATATCTAAAATGTCAAAGAAACGCTAATGCATTTTATCATATTAAACTTGCATTTGAATTGATTATTCATACATATCTAACTACAGAAAAACTTGAATTCGTTTTATCAGATTGACATTACCTGCCTATTCATACATGCGACATATCGGAAAAGATAAAAGAACAATCGCACTCCAAATGACGCCACTAATTATTGAATTGATCTTGGAGACACAACTACCTAGGTCTATCATTCAACTATCGCATCCATGGCGTCGAAAAAATGATGACGAATTCGGATTCCTGGACATCGATAACCTATTCCGAACTTCGATCAAAGTTTAGATCGGAGTTGAAATGCAAAGTCTAATTTTACAGCCCTCGATTTTTTGATGGACCTAATTTCTGATCACAGGGAGCTTTGATCGAAAAAATGAGGATGGATTCGGAACCCTCGGTGGTTTATTGATAAACGAGTAAAACCTTAAACGGTTCAGTATCTTGGCGAGAACCTCAAATGGTTCCGTATGACACCATTTTGTTTTCAGAGTACGACAACATGGCTTTTGTTGAACGGCATGGTAGAAACTCAGTGGCTCCTTTATGAGAGTTGCTGTACGGAAACAGAGAAATCGTAACTAAATGGCGCTGTGGTAAATCTCTGAATATTAAATCAGTTCAATCATGCTTGGTGTTTTGTTGGGAATTTTAAAGTAATAAGTAAGCTAAATATTTTCACTCACAATCAATTCGTTTATTCCTCTGTTTTAGACTGAATGGATGCTGAAAGTGAAACATGCATTGTGCTTTTAGAAAGTACAACTAGTTGGTAGTTGGAAAAACAACGCACCGATAATTATTGCGTAGTGAATTTAATGATTATTGTTTTAATGCTATTGAGGCTGAATTTGATATGCATGAAAGGTCGGTTCAGTGTACTGTGGAAAGACTTCGTTCTCACTTGTATGTTCGGAGCTGTTTTCTGTGTTAATGAGATAGTGCCCAAGCTGACGAAAATTCGGAATTACGTTCATTACAACGACGCATGGGATGTGTCCTTTGGATAAAATTTTCATTTCAGAATTTGAAAGCTGTCAAAAATTTCAGTTTTAGTGCGAAAACGGGCTGTTCTTGAAATTCAAAAACAATAGCGCGTTTTGGCACTAAAAGCTGGACTTTTCAGTCGTTTTCACACTCTGAAATGAAAATTTTGCACAAACGACACATCTCATACGTCATTATAATGAGCATTAATAACTTACAGTCGTGATTCCCGGCTGCATGTTTAAATGCGTTATTCCGAATTTTCGTCTGCTAGAGTGTAGTCTGAAACCTTTTGGTACGAAACGCTTTTTTATCCTTTTACGAAACGGCTCGGTACTAAACCTAAAAAGGATCTTCCCGTGTGCCCGGCGGAAGGTCCTTTTTAGGTTTCGTAAAGTACCTATTTTTTCAGAGTGTATCTCTCATGACAAATTTACATAAAGTGAACTAGCACAGGGTTTTCGTTTCCGCACTATTTTATGGGAAGCAATGCAATCATCACCATATAGTCGAACTTTTCTTCTTTCAAATAAACCAAAAGATGCATATATACCAATATTTTCATAACACAAAACAAAACTGTCTAATTCCTTGGTGAACTAACTTTTAAAATGCTAGTCAGGCGTTCTCACACGTTCACGACTTGCTCGAAAGCAAAGTCGAAAGCATCAGATTGACTGAAATTCTATGGGCAGCATGTTGTTGGTAACAATCTTGAATAAAAAAGCACGTAATACGTTTGAAGTTATGCCAAAAAAGAGCGCTCTCATTCATGTGGTTTGTCTGCTTTCACTAAAGAAGTAATCTAGTAACTGATTTTCAGAAATCTTTTTTTCTGTAAGAATGAACGAAGGTAACTCATTCGGCATATGAGCCTCTTTTTATCCGAGTCATGAGTTCGTTTAAAAATTATAGAACATCTAGATGGCAGCGCGATGGTGAGAAAAGGACAAAAGTTTGAGTAGGATCAGAAATGTGCAACTCTAACTCAAATTTGGCTCCTGTTGATTGCATAACTTGCTAGAGAAGAACGGGAAAAATCAATAGCGAATACACACGTACATGTGTATCATATTTATGAAACAATTAATAGATCTACGAATATATGACTTTGAATTGTTACATCGAGGATCAATATTTTGAAACTGATCCTACTTTTGTTAAAAAGAATCATATTCCAGGTTTACATCGTTTAGCATTAAAAGTTTGATGCGTTCGAGCTACACCCAAGCAGACAAAAAAATTTAATAACGCGTGCAAACTCACATACTTTCTCGGACGTGTTCGAATGGCAATCGATGTTCCCGATTATATGTCACTAACGGCAAAAAGAAAACGACGTGAAAACGCTTACTTTTCCATGCTAACTGACATTGTAGCCATGTGTTATCCGTAGAATTTTAGTCGTTTCACACCTGCTTGACTTGGACGCTTAAAAGACGTATTTTATCATAGTGAAATATTTTTCACGTTTGAATGGCCTGTTTTTAAACCTACTTTAGATGTATTATTTATAGATATTTGTGACTCATAATCGGGAACATCGATTAGCATCCGAACACAGTTAATAAAATTACGCGTTTACAC